CATAGATTGGTCGTATGTAGCAGACCTTGCTGTGATATTTCCAACAGATCTCATATGAAGCTGCTGTGGTAATCTCTCCTCCTAAGTAGGAAAAAAAAGTAATTTGCTTTTAAAGTGGAGGGTACAAATTATGACTTGATTTTGAAAAAACTACCTATTGAAACTCTGTGAATAATTTGGATTAGCCTTATAAAAAATGGTTTTGTTTTCTCACCAGACAGAACATTTTATTTTCTCAACATCATCAGCTCAATACAAAATGTCATTGTTTTCAGAGGATAGTCGCTCCTTCGGATTTTATGCACATTTGTTCTCCAAATGCCAAGCAAAAGTCTATGGTGTTTCAGTTACAAAATAGTGGAAGTATTCAGATTTGTGTTCAGTTTGAATTTTAGGCTATTGTTTTTCTAATGGTAATGCTGATTGTGGAGTTGGGCAAGAATTTTGTAATAGCTACCACCAACCCAAAATTAAAGTAACGTTTGAATATACTTAAAAAAAAATATTCTTAATTAGTGATTCTATTTATGCTGAGTATGAGTGCTTCAAGCTTAGGGAATGGGCCTTCTAAAAACTCATTATAAAGAGATCAGATCTCAAACGGTAAAATGCTGGCAAAAATTAGACATTTGTAAAAGAGCTGCTAAAAGAATTTGAGACCTCCTATATTTTACATTATTTTGCACTTCAGTGAATATAGCCTGTTCTTCTCTCTTAGTGATCAGACTGATTTGCCGTCTGCATGCTTTTGAAGTTCTTGCCAAAAGGTTTGTTTGCATTGTCTGCTGATTCTTTCTCCCCCTCCATAACCAATTCCAAAAACTGATGAAGATATTTGAACACCAAAAGCTTCATGTTGTGTACAACAGTAAAAGATGAAACTTAGTCTTTTAAGTTAGAAAACAACTTGCAGATAACAATTTGACATGACTTTTAATTATTCTAAATTGAATTCTGCCATTTTGTAATTTTTCAACAGCAGTCCTCAAACTAGCTGAACTGTTTCTTCACAGTCTTCTGCATGTGAAGGGGTGTTTTTCCCTCTACGTGAAGTATAATCAGAAAATGTGGAATTATTGTCAGTTATGTATTTTCAAGATATTTTTGCCTTGATCCCAAAAGCCTTGAGAAGTTGTGTTTCATCCCCAGAGGAAGATACTAAAAATATGAAAGAACATAAAATGCCGTAACTTGTGACATACATCAGTCATATAGAAGATTGCAAGTGGATGATTACATTGGTTTATTGAAATATCTAAGGGGAAAACCAGTATTATGCAATTGTATGCAAATTAATGCCTATTACAGTCACACCATCCTTGAGAGTCTGTCATGAGAGTGAGAAGGGATAGCGTGTAACTTTTTATGATTTATATTGTCCACAAGAACTGCTACTCTCTAATTAACAGTCCTTGTGCGTGTTCAGGAGTCTCTTCTGTCACAGTCCAGGATTTTTCCTGGAGCTGCAAAGGAATGACACAGCTGTACCCACGAGCAGGAGCAGCTCTCAGCACCTCATTGCTGTAACTGCGTATCAGAGTACAGCTTTGGACCACCCTTGCAGCCCAGCTCATTTAATATACCATGCATCCCCGCTGACTTCAATGAAACTCCACAGGATGCATGTCAGCTTGGGATTTGGCACTGGTTGCAAACAATTATGTTATAGTTGGCTGGTGTAACCGTTTTGGTTGTGCTCATGGGGGTGTATCATTCTCTGTTGACAGTTGGGACTTTGTCAACAAGTGCACACATGTGCAGTGCCTGGGTTGAGTGTGTTTAGTGCATATGGAAATAATTAGCAGAGAAGGAAGGTAAAATCATTATCTTTCTGTCTCTGCTTTAATTGACACTTAATTTTTACATGCACATTTATATGTTTATGTCTGTGTGTATATATGTTTATCAGTAAAATTTTTCAGGAGAAATTAACTGTCAGAATGTAGACTACCTCCAGTTAAGCCAACATTCCCTTTTTCCCACCAGTTCTCTCTTCCGTCTTGCTCTTGTTTTCAACTCCCTCTCTTCCCTTATTCAGTCCCTGGCCTCCCAGGTCTTTTTTTCCTGTCCATATCCCCTATGGATGATGAAACATAAAAGGAAAGCAACTAACTAGGAGAACGGAAAATGCGGTCACTGACCCTGTAATTTGAATACCTTTTGTGTAGCAGTTTGCAGAACACTTTGAACTCATATTCAACTCTGAAAACGATATGAGAAGTGTTTAATAAATGTAAGCCTTGACAGTAGAAAGTCAAGGTTGAAAATGGCTTTGTATTCAGTCAGCACTGAACTAAGCCTTGGGGTGAACAAATGGTACTGACACAAATATACTGCAATCCTCCAACGACTTGCACCTCTTCTTCTCCCTCCTGCATCCTAAAGGGAGATCAAAGCCTGTCCGTCTTAAAAACAAAACAAAACAAAAAAGCCGACCTTATTGTTCATTTTTAACAAACTACAGACCCAGAAATCAATGAGGAAGAGTTGGCCAAATACAGGATTTATCGCTTTGTCTTCCCATTAACAGTCAAGCCTTGATCATTAATGAAGTTTTCATCCTTAAAACTGGAGAATGGTACATCGAACAGAGTTGAGGTTTCTCTCTCCTTTTAGCATGACACACCTCTTTGTCTGGAAGGACTCTATCCAAAGGTGACATAATAGTTCCCTCCACTGACCATTCTCAGCTTTGTTTTTAATGCCATTACTGATTTTTTTCAGGGCTTTTGCCATCTGAGTTGTTACAGACTGGAAGCCACTGGCTCAATTAACACAGCCTATTAAGTAGTTTGCAACAATAATAATTTCTGCTTTTACTGATGTAGTCTTGTTTAGAACTGGCAACGCAGAGGTAGGACGCTTTGCACGTTTACAGTTTCTTCTCCAGCTGGTTCTTAGAACAATCATGGGTTTGTTTAATTCTTTTTCCTAAGCCCAGAGAAAGATTCAGGGAAGCTTGCCCAAAATTTTTGGGACCTTTGCAACTCATTAAAGCTCATTGCCCAATATAATCCTTTGCTTCTAAGGAGAGAGACAATTATACAAAGTTGCTTGGAGATATATTTTTTAAATGATGTATCCTGCAAAGTGGGTAAATAATTCTATCAATCCATGAGATGCTGAACACCATTCAGATGTGAGAAAGCGTGCATCTTTATCATTTTCATCTTAGAAAAGTTTGAAAATGGTAGGACCAGATGCAATGAAACCTTTTCCGTTTTCTTAATAGCATGGCACAATATCTGACTTTTTTTGTTTGTTTGTTTAATGGGGTTTACAATCATTTTCACCAGTTGACCAAAGTCAGTACAGAAAAGAGTGTATTTCCCCTGAATTAATCAATATATTGATACAAATTTTGAGTTTTCCAATTTTTACGGAAAGCCATGGGCTGGTGCTCCAGGCAGCCTGTAGTAATGTGGAGTTTAAGGGATGCTGAATTCACTGTGACATTTCCTTCTGTTAGAGTATTTTGGCAAGAGCTTACTGGCTTTGCAGCTTGTGCCTTTTAAGGCCTCTGATAAATGATTAGGCAGATAGTTTAGCCTATTCTTGCCAATGGGAGCAAGGCAGCGACTCCAAGAGAAGTGTCCAGCTAATGTATTAATGCCTTAATCCAGACCAATAATATAATGTAGTTTGACATGTCTGGCATATGGTTTCTATCATCTCAATATTCTTCTCTATTCCTCCACGACATTATAGACAACTAACCAAAATAAAGAGAAGCAGGAATTTCTTCACCCGTAAAATGTATTTTAAAACGTCCTGTATTTTGTTCCAGCTCTTTGGTTGATTGGATAATGAAGTGATCCTGAAATTCAGTGATTACTTCACTGTCTGTCTACATTATTTTCTTTCAGAATTGCCTGTGGCATTATCTGGGAAAGAAATACTGGTCTCTGTCATTAAAAATACTTGCACAAAATTTGTGATGTGCAAGTGCTTTTCACTTGCAGTGCTAAGTACACGTGGGTGCATTGTGCTGGGTGTTTGGATCCTTACCAACCTGCAGGTATGAGGTGCAGACTTTTTAGAAATGTGGTTTTAAACCAAGGTGCATTTTGCAAGCTAGATGTTTTGCAGTGGCATGTAAAGCAAGTGAATGATATTTCAGAGGAAGGACAGGAAGGAAGGGAGACATTTCAAAAACCAGTGGAGTAATGGAGGTTTTGTGCTGTGATTGCACGTTCATATGCACATACCCCTTTCAGAACAGATTATACATGGAATAGCCAAAACATATGTCACTGGTTACCTGTGAAAGAGTCTGTGGGCTGGGTTTGGTTTAAAGCTCCGTGCAAACTGTGTGCTTATACATCAGCCTAAAAGGAGCCTTTCCCTTCTGTTCTAGGAGGTATAATATAGTGTTGGCTCTGAGTGTAGCAGAATTACTTGCCTCTTGCTCCCCCACTGGCTCCACTCTGCTCTGAGCCCAGTAGTGTAGGCAGATCCCAGCAACACCAGTGTGGAAGGTACCGAGGGTGTAGTCAGTCCGTGGTGGTTATTACAGGTAGGTATGGCTGTGTGCACTGAAATCACAGTCTAACCTGTGTCATTAATTACATTTCCCAATGTTTTCTTGATAATTGCATAATAAATCATTAGCAAACATCACAGAAATATCTCCAGAAAAACTGCACACAGTTGGGCTGCAAGATCATGTAAAGTGTAAGGCAAGGTATGCAAAGTACACCAATAAAAGTTATGGCCTAAGCTGAAAGGCTTACTGGTCTGCTGAGAAGGCTATTTGTGGCTAACATTTTAAGTGCTTTAACAGAGCTGTAAAGGGAGGGCTGCCATCTGGCTCTTGTTTTCACTTCAAACTTTATTTTTGCATTCACTGATAAATTAACTTACTATGCAGTCTTTACATTCTGTGGCTGTTGCAGTTGTGTTATGTCTGTTGTTAGTAAAGAAATGTGGATAGGCACGTATTAAGCAATTAAAGGGATTTATCCTATCTAAATTGATGCATGATTGTCTGTTTCTTTCAGGATAAAGAAGCCCAGAAAGACTTAGAGGCTTTACTTCTCACACTGAAGCTGTGATACTACGCACTTTTTAACTCTTCATACTGTGATAAAATCACAAAACTAAAATGAGAATCTATAGTGACTGGAAACCACGGGTGAATTCCAACTAAGTCAATGGGAAAACTGTCATTGATTTTGGTTGGCTTGGATCATGCCCTTTAAGCGTCTGGCGATTCTGATATGAAAATGATGTGTTCATTTTTGATTATTTATAATCTTGTACTGGTTTAATTTTAGATTGCTGACACTGTGAGTCTGATTCTCTGAACATGAAGTCCGCTGCTGGCAATGGACATACTGGGGATTGGAATGCAAAATGCACAAATCTCACTCTTTGAAAGACTAATCAACTAGTATGTGATGCCAGCATAAAACTGTGTGTAGCAAAACCAAACAAACAGATGTTTCTATAGTAAATTATATTTGTATCAACCAATTTACACAGATGTGTACAGAAGAAAATCATGAATGTTCATGTTTACACATTTCTCTATTATTATAAAGTTAAAATCTTGTTGAAGTTAAAGAAAAAGCTCTTGCTTCCACAAAGCTCTTTTTACTTTAAACCTACTGTTGGTTTTTACATGGAAATGTGAAAACTTTATAAATTAAATATTAAAGTTATATTTTATTTGTAATATCAAGTACAATATTAAAAATCAGACCAATGAAGTTAAGTGTTTTAGAGTAATCTATTGCAGCTGTGATGTTTAATGGATTTGTTACAGGACCTCCATCCAGTTTGCGAATCCTGGCTCTTTCTCTTTGCACCTTTGCCTAGCATGGTGGCATCTGTGTGTCTTCAGAGAACCTAGTCTAGCATGTGACCCTCACTAAACTTTTATATCATCTATATAACATAACCTGTACCTAAAAACAGACTAATTAAAGACCTACTACTTCTGTCTGAGTGTGTAGGACAGCACTGTTTTCAATAAAATCTAACAGGTAGGGAAAGAATTTTGTTTACCAACAGCCTGATCCAGAATTCACCGAAGTCTGTAGAAGAATGAAGGCCAGTTTTCATTGGCTTTTCATTCAGGATCTTAATCTAGATGCAGAGAGTGCATCTGGAAGAAGTAAGCATTTCTGTTAAAGGAAATAAAATTGGGTAAAGACAACTGCACGTTCCCTTGACCTATTTGACATGTAAGATAACATGGACCAGCTAAGACAAAGACTCATGTGGCACCAATATATTGAACTAGTGATTGGGGGTTTCATTTTGGACAGATGGGGAACAGTGAAATTAGCAAGTAGGAACTACAGTCACTGCAACAAAGATCTAAAAATTGGGCAGATATAAAAGAGTGTGTATTCTTACGACTGAGCCATCTCATAGCAAGAGTGAGAGGGAGCTTAAACTACCAACAGCAGGATGCAGTAGACTGGAAGACAAATGTGTAGTTACATTTGAATTTATCCTGACTCCGCAACTCCTCATACAGTACAGAGATTTCATTAAGTAGGGCGGTCCATTTTTTCCAACATTTTCTTTAAAAATATGTTTCCAGACATGCAAGCATTACTGTGAGATAACTCTGAACAAAATCTGAAAGTTCAGAACTGGTTCTGAGTTCTTACTGTTATCTTCATGGTTGTCATTATCCTGAAGATCTTCACAAATTGAAATATGTATTTCAGTTGTTTTTATTGTTCATTCTGATGGAAAATAGTTCCTGTATCTCTTTTTTCAATTCCAGAGTTCTCTTTTTTTCATACAAAATTTCAGAGAAAAACAGAAATACCATATGAGATAAATCCTCTCAAATAGTTCCTTCTGTGACAGAGTAATTGACTTGTGAACAGAGGAGCTACAAAGGTGACGCATCTTGATATTGGTAAGGGGCTTTTGGTAAAGACTGCTCTTGACATTTTCATAGCCAGTGCAGGAAGCATAGTTTAAATGGATCTGCATGAGTGATTTGTACTTAGGGCGGCTGTTAGCAATTCACTGTCGCCTAGGAGAGTGTAATAAGGAGGCCTTTACTGCAATCAAATTTATGCTAATCAAGATACTTCATAAAATAGATTGGATTATGCAATAGATATTTAATTTACACACAATTATTGCTGATAAAGGCTGAAAGTGTATCAGAAGAATACATTAGAACAATAAGTTATTTAAATTAATTGCTGAAATGAGGTGACATAAATAGGATTTGCTTCATTAAGGGTAAATAGAAAGTATTGAATTGAAATAAGCAACAGCTAGAGAATGGAGGAGACCTGGCTAGTTGTGGTAATTCTGTGGAGAAGGATGTGCAGAGTCCAGTGAGTGGCAAGCTAATCATGGGTCAATAATGTCATGTTTTTGTAAAAAAGCATATTTCATACTAGACTGAATAAATAAGCGTTCCCTATTAAATTCACATGAAGTAACCTTTAATTACACCTAATAAGGTCTAATGAGGTCTGAGTTGGAATAATATATCTAGTTTCAGGCACCACACTTGAAGGAGGTTGGGGGCTAATTGGAAAGAGTCCAGTGAAGAGAGACAAGAAAGATGAGAGTGCTACACAACATTATTTTGTGTATAAAAATTGAAAGAATTTAGTTTGTTTAGTCTGCAGGAGCAAGGACTAAAGGAGTATTCACATTTGTAAAAAGCTATTGCAGAGAAGACAGTAAAAAAAAAAAAAAACAAAAAAAAGAAAAAATCCCAAAACCTTTTTCTCCAAATCCCCTGTTCCTAGGACAAGAAGTAATTGCCTACCTTTAGATTAGGGTTTAGGAGAAAATAATCCTGACGGTAACTTTGCAAAGCCCTGCAATACATTTCCTGAGAACATTATAAAATCATTTACACGAGTTTTAAAGTTAAACAAAGTATACTTTAACCATTGGCAACCTTTAAGGCGCAGTTCATCCTCTGGCAGAGGTTGGACTAGATGACTTCTTAAGATCCCTCCCGGCCTCGCTGTCCCTGGGGCGGGCACAGCTCCAGCCCCGTACGGGCTGTGGGCGCTCCTGCTGGGTTTCTGCAGCCAGTGGGATTGTCTCTGCACACCCTGGCTCTGCCTTTGGGCCCAGACTACCTAATAAATTTGTACAGGGAAACGTTTACCAGCATGTTTCAGCACTTGAATTGAGAGATGTGCATCATGGCTGCCCTTGACCATTTATTTATCACACCTACCTATTTAATCCACGTGATTGCATTTTTTTTAAATGAAATTTCTGATTTTATAAATTAAATTAGTGATCTTTCTTTTCAGACTTCTGAATTAAACCCATTCTTCTGTTTTAATTTTTGCTCCTTACTAGTCTATGTGTAGAATCACAAAATAACATCTTGGAGGTTTAATTATTCATTCTAAATTGTCTTTCATATTTCATAGAAAAATTCCTCACATGAGTAAGAAACTGCTGTTTCATACAGCTAAGATATTTTGTGCTTTTAAAATTTTTTACTAGTTAGTATACATGAGTATTCTCCACTCTTCTGTGTTTCTGCTTTGCTAATCTGAGAACTTTTAAAATTGAAGCATGTTCCCTAAATTCTTCTCTAATGGCTGCTTGGAATAAAGCTTTTGCATTTAGTTCTAGGTCTAGGCTATCTGTTCTCTGTGTCGTATCAGCTGGAGAAACAGCAAGCATAGTTCCAGAGGGCCATATGTTTTCTTTTTTGTTTAAAATATCCACAGGCAGACATTCACTTCCGTGGTTTTGTCTCAGTGGAGGAGCTAGAAGTTAACTGCATTAACCCCTGCGGGCCTTTCAGCTGTGTGGAGCGGAGGGGGCTGCAGGCTGCCTGAACCCCCAGGGCCTTGGCTGTGTTGCCCACCGCCTCCTTCTGCTCCCCCGCCGTGGCATCTCTTGTTTGGTCTCTGCTCCAGTACGTACACTGTAAATATTCCAGGGTAATTTGTCTCTTCGGTGTTTGCAAAAGGTGTGTTCAGGGGGCCTTGATGTGATACTGGGAATCTTGTGCTTCATTACAGTTAAAATTACTGGTTCTGCCTTTCTGGATAATGGAGATAATTTTTATTTCTCGTGGTGAATCTAAGGGCTTTGTCATTGCATCCTGATCCCTTTGGGATTGTCCCCCTACAACAGCAGGTAACCACAAAATAGCTTATATATTTTTTGTAGCAATTGGCCAGTGGCACATTGTGGAAACAGTTAACAGTGATACACTCTCATACTACTTTGTTTAAATTGCTGTTTTTCCTTTTGCAGAGTCTTAAGGTGATTTACTCATTTTTATGTAGTAATACAATACACTGACTTCTGGAATGAATTAGGAAGCTGTCCAACAGTCGTGAGTAGCTGACGATCTAGAAAGAGAAGTGACAATTCTTGTGTCCAATTAAATAAAAAAACAAACACCAACACCTAAATCCATGCCTGCAACCCCATTATTATAGTAGTAAAAGCCTGAAGTTTTTGTGTTGTTTTTTTTTTGTTTGTTTGTTTGTTTGTTTTTTTAAATCAGGGGGAAAAAAAAAAAAAAAAAGTGGCTACCAGAGATGTCCAAACCAAACATATCATCTTACCTGATCTACTTATCCTGAGCCATCACCGTCTGAACACCTTCCACCTGAAGTACCTAGAACTACAGGGAGGTACTGTGGAATCCAGCAAGGTCCATAGGGTTTCTGGAATGTTCCTGGACACTCTGGAGGGTAGTTCTGTGGTGTTTTCTTTCAGTGGACACAATAGTCATGATGGCTATATTACACCTACTCCAAATCATAAAATCCTGCAATAACGTGACAATTAAAATTGTATTGCAGCATTCATCCAATACAAACTCAAGAAGGAGTAACTCTGACTGAAGGGCCAACATTATTGTTTGCTTTTTTTTTTTGTTCTTATTTTCCAGCACTTTTTCTTCTTACAGACTCCCAAGTTCCTTGGAGAAGAAACAAATCAAACTGTCTTGACAATACGAAGAGAAGTAAGCTTTTTTGGCCCCATCTATGTTTGTGTAACCCATGAATGTGTGACACTGGTAAATGAAGCACTAGAGCTAAGAATGTGAAACATAATTTTTTTTGGAGGAAATATTTTACTCATTTTATTAAAATAAACAACCAGTAATTCTAGAAGTATCTGTGGGAGCAATGTCCAGTGTAAACTTGAATATGAACAATGTGAGCTCTGTGCTTGGTAGTTCTACTGACCCATGATGTGACTGCGGGGCAAGCTGCTTAGCTATGTACCCAACTTACATGCACGCAAACACTGTCTGTCTACTCTTCATATGTTTTGTTTATTAAAATTAATTATGAGCTGATTTGAATTGCCTACCTATATGAGCCAAAAAAACAACCACACAATATCGACTGAGAATACTGTAACCTAAACATTTCTTAAGGATATGAGCATGAATGTGGATGTACTTTTTAACCTACCAATCTAAGTTCAGGTTTCTAACTCATGGACAAGGGTAATCAGCATGGCTGATGAAATTTCAGCCCCCAGGTGAGAGAAATGTTCTTGTTTGTTTTTCAGAAAAATGTGGCAAATCAGCAAAGTTGATTCAGCGATTTACTTATGTTTTCCTACTCTTGGAAGAGGATAATTTATGAAGAAATTAAAAGTCATTTGTAAAGCTCCTGGCCACAGCTCTGGGTTAAGGATTGCTGGTTTTTAGAATGATAGGCCAGCTTATAGAGTGCCCTATAAAATCATATATGAAGTCTTAAAGCAGTAATAAAAATTATGGTTTTTGAAATAAGCAGAAAT